CAACAAAATTGATAATAAAAAGAGAGATAATCGCCGCAGGACCTTCAGTAAGACTACAATTACAACGCTAAAATGGTGATAATAATGGTGATTAAATATAAATAATCATAATGAAAAATAGTAAAATTCTCAGCTACGTAAAAACGTTTCCATTTTCTCAAAAGTTTTCGCTTTCCATTTTCTCGAAACTTTCCGTAAATTCCAGTAGATCTAAAACACGCCCCCCCCCCCAAAAAAAGAAAAAAAATAAAATAATAATAATAATAATAATAATAATAATAATAATAATAATAATAATAATAATAATATAAATATTCACATAAATAATTCCACAATACATCGATATAAATATTGATATCATGGGTACATTACTTTCTTACGACCAAAATGCTTCGGCTAAATCCTTCATCAGAATTTCTTTTCTCTTGACCTTTTCTTCATTTTCTACTCCACATTGTCTAAGGTTCGCATCAGGGGAAACCGCCCCCCCCCCTTTCTCTTTTCTCATTTTTTATGCCTTAAACGATCAGCAATGGCTTGTTCAGCAAGTAGAGTCGTAGGTCAATGAAGATTGATTATCGTGACATAATTTTCTGTTTTGTCCTCCAATTAAGAACTTGAAGCTGTTTTGTATTCTAATGAAGAACTTGAAGCTGTTTTGTATTCTAATGAAGAACTTGAAGCTGTTTTGTATTCTAATGAGAACTTGAACTTGAAGCTGTTTTGCTATTCTAATGAAGAACTTGAAGCTGTTTTGTATTCTAATGAAGAACTTGAAGATTCTAATGAAGAACTTGAAGCTGTTTTGTATTCTAATGAAGAACTTGAAGCTGTTTGCTATTCTAATGAAGAACTTGAAGCTGTTTTGTATTCTAATGAAGAACTTGAAGCTGTTTTGAATTCTAATGAAGAACTTGAAGCTGTTTTGTATTCTAATGAAGAACTTGAAGCTGTTTTGTATTCTAATGATGAACTTGAAAGCTGTTTTTATTCTAATGAGAACTGAAGCTGTTTTGTATTCTAATGAAGAACTTGAAGCTGTTTTGTATTCTAATGAAGAACTTGAAGCTGTTTTGTATTCTAATTAAGAACTTGAAGCTGTTTTGTATTCTAATGAAGAACTTGAAGCTGTTTTGTATTCTAATGAAGAACTTGAAGCTGTTTTCTATTCTAATGAAGAACTTGAAGCTGTTTTCTATTCTAATGAAGAACTTGAAGCTGTTTTGAATTCTAATGAAGAACTTGAAGCTGTTTTGTATAAATGAAGAACTTGAAGCTGTTTTGTATTCTAATGAAGAACTTGAAGCTGTTTTGTATTCTAATGAAGAACTTGAAGCTGTTTTGTATTCTATGAAGAACTTGAAGCTGTTTGCTATTCTAATGAAGAACTTGAACTGTTTGTATTCTAATGAAGAACTTGAAGCTGTTTGCTATTCTAATGAAGAACTTGAAGCTGTTTGTATTTCTAATGAAGAACTTGAAGCTGTTTTGAATTCTAATGAAGACTTGAAGCTGTTTTGTATTCTAATGAAGAACTTGAAGCTGTTTTGTATTCTAATGAAGAACTTGAAGCTGTTTTGTATTCTATGAAGAACTTGAAGCTGTTTTGTATTTCTAATGATGAACTTGAAGCTGTTTTGTATTCTAATGAAGAATTGAACTGTCTAATTAAGAACTTGAAGCTGTTTGTATTCTAATGAGAACTTGAACTGTTTGATTCTAATGAAGAACTTGAAGCTGTTTTCTATTCTAATGAAAGAACTTGAAGCTGTTTTCTATTCTAATGAAGAACTTGAAGCTGTTTTGAATTCTAATGAAGAACTTGAAGCTGTTTTGTATTCTAATGAAGAACTTGAAGCTGTTTTTATTCTAATGAAGAACTTGAAGCTGTTTTCTATTCTAATGAAGAACTTGAAGCTGTTTTGTATTCTAATGAAGAACTTGAAGCTGTTTTCTATTCTAATAAGAACTGAAGCTGTTTTGTATTCTAATGAAGAACTTGAAGCTGTTTTGTATTCTAATGAAGAACTTGAAGCTGTTTTGAATTCTAATGAAGAACTTGAAGCTGTTTTGTATTCTAATGAAGAACTTGAAGCTGTTTTGTATTCTAATGAAGAACTTGAAATAAGAACTTGAGGCGGAAAGTCAGGCTTGAATATATTTTTCACACTGTCCATTGATTTCTTGATTTCAATTAATGCTATTATCTATGTATCATTTATTTGGAATGAATTACAAGACTTAGGTTCTTCCAAAGCCCCTTCCCCTTTTTTTTTTTTTTTCTCCTTTATCGAATTACCTGATAGTAAATTTCAAAGATGGTTTCTCTACAAAGCCTCAAA